TATAGAATAGTCACTAAGATGTTTTAAAAGCTAATATTAAAAAATCCATGTACATGTAAATCTTCATGCTGCCTTCCCACATCCTGGACGAGGGGGTCATCTTGAACGCACTAAACATCCCGCATTGATCTCTCTCCTCCACATCATTCTTTCAAATACTTTTCATAGTGAGTTTCAGGAAGTTTTTCACAAACAGGTACTTCATGTGAAATCAACAACTGGGCATACTAAAATCATGCCGAGTCACAGCCCAGAGTGCTCAGAATGTATATTTAGTGCCTAAACACGTGGTTTTCCACCGAGACTGGCCGAGAGAGCTAAGGGCCAAGTGCCCCTGCTCAGGGCCTGAGCTCTCCACTCCACTCAGGCTAGCAGAGGCCAGAGAGGCTGCCAGAGCTGGAAACAAGAATTGCTTTATAAATTGGACACCGTATTTGTACTAGTGTTTTCTTTATTGTCATAGACTGTTATGATAGACTTTGTAAATTGTGGTTGGTAGATCTGGATCACTAAGAGGCTTTCAGAGTTCTGTGCTAAAGGGGAAAAAAAGCCAAGAAAGCCCAGCCACAAACAAAAAAGGGGGAAAAACAGCATTACTTGTCTGACCAAAGACGGGCTGGGTAAACAGCACTTTTTGCACACATATAATGGAATATTGTGCTTATGTCTAGCATTTGTTACCACTGGATGGGTTTGATCTTTCAATAATGATTGCAACCTCACATGTAATTTTGTTTTATGGGTTCAGTCAATATCTATATTAGAACTAAAACTAAGATACAAACCTCCTTTATGAATGCCTGATACTTCCATTCTATTTTCAGCATTGGCAAGAGAAATGAGAAATCTGATTATTTTGGCAAGATGTAAAGAATGTCATATTAACCAATAATTCTCATCAAAGGATAACACAGCTGACAAATCACTCTTTGGCGAGGGTAAGAGAAGAGTAAGTCCTTGGGTATAGGAAAAATTATGGCAACGTGCCTAGCACGGTATGTGCGCTTAATAAACATGGCTTGATTCTAATGATAAGGTATGGATAACGCTTGTCTCCTTCCTAAAGATCCTCTTGTCTGGGGGAAGAAATGGCATGTTCTACCTCCAAACACTCATGGGTATATTATGACAGCTCCTTACTCTTGAAAAAGGATTGCCTGTGTGTAATGTTATTACCCATGAATAAGGGTAAAATCTTATTAAAAAATGTGCTATTAGCAAAATAAAGTTCTCCTCATCCTGTGAGTCACACTAATCTGTAAATATAATTAAAACCGTGTGCCTTTAATGAGAAGAGTTGATTATTCTTGTCGGCCCACCAATCTTTCTCCTTTGGCTGGCCAGGTACTGAATCTCTTATAATGAGTGTTGCTTATTTGGAACGAGGCACCAAGTCCCCAGGGCGCTCCTAAAATACTGAAAATTCTGCCATTATTGCTCATTTTAAGTACAAACCGGTTTGTTGTTCTATCTAGAGAGTTCACTTAGAAAGCTCAAAGGAAATGGGACAACAAACAGGTATTAAGTTTTGATCAGGCAGGTGGGGGCAGAAACTGAGGCAACAGAAGGTGTAAGATTGGAGAAGTGATTGGGCCACCAACACTCTCTCCAGCAGGATTTGTCTCCACTTAGGACATGAGGTAAGGCTATTACTTTTTAAAGATTGTAAACAAATCCTCCCAGTGCCATGTTCGAACCATTCAAACTATGTCCACTTATTTAAAATAATGTTATATAGTACTAAATTACATACACACACACACACACACACACACACACATCCAGTAAAGTCTACTCTAAGGGGTTTGGTCTCCCACGGATCAGGACTTTGCATAGTTACGTCTTTCCCTTGTAAATGCCTCTGTAGAGTTTTCTAGTTTAATTTCCATAAGCTTTATCTGTGCCTTGTTAAGTTCATTTTTAGGGCTGTTTAAACAATATGAATGGAATTTTTCATTTGTGTTTCCTAATTGTTGTTTGAAATGGGGACAGCTAGTGATTATTACTTACTAATTTTTACAAACTGATTGACTTTGCTTGCAGCCTTTTAGTTCTTTCGAATTTACCCTAGTATACAATCATATCACATGCAAATTTTGCCTTCATATATGTGTATGTATATATTCATATATTTTCTTATTTTATTCTCTCATATGATTACATTAGCTCGTATATTCTGAACAATGTTAAATAATGTGGGGGACACTAGGCATCTTTGTGGTGTCCCTGACTTTAAGAAAATGTTTCTGTTTTTCATCCCATTAAGCTAACTTTTAGTTTGAGGTATTTAGGAAAACATCAAGAATCCATCTGGTTCTGTTTTCTAATGGATTTTAAACATCAGAAATAAATATGAAATTTTGTCAATCACTTTTTTAGTATCTACGAGATGCTAATGTTTTTCTCTCTTGACCCATTAAGATGAACCACTTCTGCATTCTCTTAAATAAATGCTAATGGTATCCGTTTTTAATATTTTTTTATTTTCAAAATTATCTTGGCTGATCCTACTCTTCCAGAAAAAAACCCTGAAGGATAATTCTTAAGAACCAGGAGACCCATGAAATTAAAAGCTTATCTCTTCATTGTAAGGAGGTACAATACGGGTCAATTCACACAGAAAATTAGGAGATAGTAATTTACCTAACCAGAATAACCTTAATTAGGGGTTCTGTTTTTAAGTAATAGACTACCTCTAGTACATGTAAATCATTGTTTATAGATAGATTACCCAACATTTGGGAGATGGGATAAGAAAGCAGACCAATGAAAATGAAACATAAAACAAAACAATAAAAATGAACAGACTAGCAGAGTTGCTGTTTCTATAGCCCAAAAATTACAATATAAGACAAAAAGATCAAATTAAGCCCACGCTTTAAAATATGTATCTACTGCATAAAACTAAGCACCTATACATTAAATTATAACAAAAATGTAATATGTATAACTGGTATGCTCTTATAGATATTAAAGCAATATGTATTTCATTGCTTCTCTGATGCATTTTTTTTACATTTTAGTAACTCTGAAATTAAGATGCAAACAGAATCTATGATGATCATGTTTAACATATTTTTTGAGATTTTATTTATTTATTCATTAGAGACAGAGAGAGAAGCAGAGGGAGAGGGAGAAGCAGGCTTCCCGCGGAGCAGGGAGCCCGATGCTGGACTCGATCCCAGGACCCTGGGATCATGACCTGAGCCGAAGGCAGATGCTTAACCGACTGAGCCACCCCGGTGCCCCTGTGTTTAATATTTTTGTCGACATTTCTTTCTTTCTTTGTGATGCATGAAATAATGACATAAGTTAAAAATTGGTGGTATCTTAGATTTGACAAAATACAGCAAATATCAACTTTAGATACAAAACAGCTTCATCTCCCTACCTCCAGCACATATCCTCTTTTCTTAAAATGCTATTATTATCTGTGAATCTTTTAAAAATAGACTAAATTAAAATGCAATTTAGATTTAAGGAGTTTGACAACTTTAGGATTTACCCTAAGATGATCAGAGATAGCCCAGGGAGTTGCATACTAGAGGCTGGGATAAATGGGTCGATGCAAGAATCCACACAGATGTGCATGTTAGTATGCAATGTGTGCAGGCAGGCATGCATTGGAGTCACTGGGTTCTACCCAGTTTTTGGTGGAGTCAGTAAGTAAAATAATTCCACAGCCGCAAAATTCTCAAGTGACTTTATTCAGAAAAGTAGAACACGCAGTTATTAATTGCAATGTTTCTCACTTGGAGCTGTCAGTGTAAGAGAAGTCACTGGTCTCTCCCATCCCCATCTCCTCCCTTCTCACTCAGCTCTCCTGGAAGATGAGAAGATGGACACAGAATTTCCACCTTGCCCACCACGTCACTTCCTGCTCTGCCTGCTTACCTCCTCACCACAGATGACAACAACGGACCACTTACAATTATTTTTTTTTTATGCATGAGCTTGGTTTTTTTTATTATTATTTTTTTTTATGCATGAGCTTGGTTTTTTTTATTATTATGTTAGGTTAATCACCATACATTACATCATTAGTTTTTGATGTAGTGTTCCATGATTCATTGTTTGCATATAACACCCAGTGCTCCATGCAGAACGTGCCCTCCTTAATACCCATCACCAGGCTAACAAATCCCCGCACCCCCTCCCCTCTAGAACCCTCAGTTTGTTTCTCAGAGTCCACAGTCTATCATGGTTCATCTCCCCC